TGGAATTCTTTCAAAGGAGCCAGTAAGTCGTTTGATGTAAAGCACTATTGGAAGCCAGTCAGGTAAAACTGATGACCGCATAAAAAGGTGAGTTTAGATTACCGCTTCTCCTGAAAGGATTGACACAAGGAGCTACATTAGTAGTCCAAGCGTGTGTCCAGCGGAGCAGATGAAGTGTTTAATATAAATAGGAGGAAGTAAAAGTTGAATGTACTTTTCTTGGATGCATTTCACCTTCGATTATAAATAACTAGTTCCTTCAAGAAGACCCACACAGTTGTAGTTTAAGACCTGGTTAATTGTGCTGTCAGACCTGCTCAGTCAAACACGTGTACGGCCCTCTCGTTCCCCAGATGACTGCTTGATTGGATGTGTCTGACAGGTAGTTAATTCTCCAGACTGAATAGTCATGGCTGCAACATTGCGGTGGGAGATTCCCCAGTCTGTGGCAGTGATTAATGATGATGGCCTATGTGTTGTGTGTTTGTGTGCCTGTGTGTGTCCGTAACAATAGATTTGAGTTAGTGATGTTGGAATAGATGAAATGTACCATATTAATCATAGCAATTACAGTGAGCTTGCTGGAAATTAAGCAATTTACTTTTTAGTAGAAAGTTAGTTGTATAATAAAAACGGCAATACAATAGTTTCTTATGCCCACCAGACTGGATTTATTGGATCAAAAATACAGTAATTAAAAACGACAATATTGTGAAATATAATTACTGTTTAAAATAACTGTTTCTATTCTAATATATTTAAAAATGTTATTTTTTCCTGTAAGAGTAAAGCTGAATTTCCAGCAGCCATTACTGTCACATATTGTCATTGTAAAATGCTAATGTGCTACTCGATACATTTATTATTATTATTATTATTATTATTATTAATCTAATTATTATTATGCTGCTTAATATTTTTGTCACATTACATTTTTTAAACATTGTACAATGATTTCACTATATATGTTTTAATAAGTTCAGCTCCTATTCCTAAGACATATCAAAAAATAAATAAATAAATAAATCATACTCACAGCCACATTTTTTTGTTTTGTTTTTTTTCGCTTATGGATGAAAATAAGTTGGAAATACGCAGTAGCGTATCGTGGGGTCTCAGTCAGGGCCTTCAGTAACGATCATCACAACTTTTTCAAAAAAAAAAAAATTGTTACCTTGAAACAGGTTAACTTTTTCAGCCCAAGAAGATAGTATAAGCATGTTCACACTCTTTGTTGAAGGAAGAGAGATAAAGCTATGGAGACAGAGGAAGAGGAAACTCTGACAGCAGACAACTCTATCAATCAGACAAGCATGAAACAAACTCTTACAGCTCTAACAACCCCTAAGTGTTGAAAGCAACACACCATGATGTTCTGATACTGGATTAGATGTCTCACTCAGCTCTGTGAGTGTGTGTGTAATGTTAAGCCAGAGCCAGGAACAGGAGTCTTGAATTTTTCAGTACATGTAATGACATTATTTAGTAGTCTCTTCAGCAACATTCCGTGACATTATTCATGAGTCTCTTCTTGTTTCTTTGTATCAAATGCTGAGTTAAAAGAGGCACTTAACTTTCAGAAAGTGTTGCGTTATAATGGGATCAAAGTTAATATTATACATTTTATATGAGGTTTTCAATCCTGTTACAAAAAAAAGGACACGTCTAAAGAGTTTAAATCAAAACTTTCTTATTTTAAATGAATTGGTTGGTTCGTTGAATGGTTTATAAATGCAGTCAACACAAGCAAATTCTGATAATGGATTTAGATTTAGAAGGCTTCAAACTATGTTTATTCCTGTTTTTTTTTCTCCCCTAATATGGGAATATTGTTGGATTTGTGCCTTTAATGCTTTTTTAAAAAGTCAGTGTACTGTAAACATTGAAAGTGGCTCTAGCTTTTTCTAGTTTAAAGAGATCTGGATTTTCTAATTGCTCTACAGGGAGCATGAAATGATTGTGCAGTTCTTAAACCCTGACAGACTGAGACTTAATATTCATTATGAGGGAAAAAATTGGAACATAAATGTTTTTTACAAATAAAAAAGAACCTAGGAGCTCTATTAATATGAAAGGGTTATGCACAAAATTTGGGTTTGCAGCCATGTGCGAGGCCGTGTGTGTGTGAGTATGTGCGCTCTTGCTTGCTTTTATCTTTCTGCTGCTGGCCACACTTTGATGGTGTGTGTGTGTGTGTGTGTGTGTGTGTTGCTTCTGTAGTTTCCATCCCTGTCAGATCATGGTTGGAGGAATCAAAGACCAACGGAGCCAGTCATAGTGATTTGAGACCCGCAGCAGAGGGAAACACTGAGCCAAGTAATTCCGCCAACGTTTATGAAACGGATGGTTTTGGAATCTGGCCTCATAACTCCTCATAAGAGGATGTGAATGTGTCTGGCGGTTGTATTTACTCATCATTATTAACCATAATGGTGTCTATTTCTTCATCAGCCATCTGTAAAGGAAAGGTGACTTTTGGTGCCTGGCTCAGCTGTATGCTGCCAATTCATGCAAACTTACACTAACACACAATTGTTGGTTTTTCTGTCACAATGGGGAATTTTGGGGTCAGTAAGATTGTTTCTTTTTTTTTCTGGTAACTCTTTGCTGAAAGCTGCAGTATGTGATTTCTGAGAATCATTGTTAAGCATACCCAAACAAACACACATCCAAAATGGTGGATATCTCTTTATAAGCTGAAACAAATGCAGCTTTGAGAAGCAAAAAATCTCACCAACCCAAATTTTAAAACGATAGTGTAAATATTTCTACTTTTTTAGATGTTCATTAAGGCCATGTGTCCACCAAAGCGTTTTTAGCCAGGTGAAAACGCTAGACGCTCTGAAAAAAAATGCTTAGCTGTGGGCGCTTGAGGGTGTTTTGGCAGCACAGCGTTTTTGTTTTTTTGTTTTTTTCCATTGAGACGTTTCGTTGCTATGATACAGAATATCTGCAGCACAGTTTACTTGTAACTGATTTCGCAGATCATTTGTTTCATACTACTAAATAATTGTTGTTGTTCGGTTAGCTCTGCTGGTTGATGTCGTTGTATACAGAAAGAATGTCGTGACAGTTGGTTGGTGTGGTACTTGTCCCGCCCCTCCTCCACTGTGATTGGATGGCTGGGCAAAAAGTGACAGTGATGACCGCTGCATTTTACCCAAAAGTTGGACATTTTTCGTGAAAAAACTTCTCAGCGCCTCGTTATGCTCATGGCGTTTAAAAAATGTGGCGCTCCCATTGAAAACAATTGAAAACATACGCCAGGCGGCCTCAAGTGCAGTAAGCGATTTCTGTTGAAATTTTAAATTCCAAAAAGCCACACCCCTCCCTTCATTGCCCAGCCCCCAAAATGCACAACCACACAATGAGTGGATGTCTCTTATTATAGATGAAGCGAAGCAAAATGCTTCACGAAAAATAAAGCGAAGATGACACAACAAGGAAGAACAAAAAATGATCATGGAGCACTCAAAGGCAAGAGCACCAGCTCCAGACAAACATTTACACTTAAAACTGTTCTGTTACTATAACTAACATTACAACAGCATCTCTTGGTTTTTGGAAACATAGCAAAACCCAATTTTACTCTCGTATGGAGCCGAAAAAACACAACCTCAACATCCGTTTTCAGGCCTTCCCGCTTAAGTCTCTCCAGTGCTGGAAAGCTTTTCTAAAGCTCTTGCCTGATCATAACCTTTCTTTTTTCAATGACATTCCTCTGACCTTTTCTCTTTTGAAATGCCTCTCAGCCATCTCTCTTTCGACTAACTTCCTTTAAATTTCCCTCTTGCTCACTCTCTCCCCTCCCTAGGGTGACCACCATCAAACAAACCAAATGTGGGACGATTATAAGCTTGTGTGGGACAATGTGGGACATGTTACCAACATTAAAACATACCCTGGAACTGTTATACAATGTCTATCTAACTTAATAAAAACATTTGTATTCTGCCTTGCAGCTGATAAACATTCTTTGTTCTTTAGTCCCAGAAAAAAAAAAAATCTTTATTTTACATGTCATTTAAATTCAACATAACTGAGCCCAAAGGCATCAGGCATCATGCAGACGACTATTTTGGTAACAGTTCTGACCAAGTCCAACTAAAATCCAACAAAAATAAACAATGAACAAATAAAATGTAAAACAACATGAAATTAGATTGACAGTCTTATATATTAAGAATATTTTAAAAACCAAAACCAATAACTTTCATATTTTTAGAAAAGATGTGAATTAAAAAAAAACTACAGCAGGCAACAAGTTAAACAACAGGTTAAACAACAACATATCAATTCGGTTAAATTCACCGAACAGATCAATTCGGTTATCCAATTGTTTTCTGACAGGGAACACATGGAGCGAAGTGAAAATGCTGTACAGTAAACTTGCAAAACGGGACGGGTGGTCACCCTATCCCTCCCCCATCATGAGTGTATTCGCCCCCCACTGCTGATTGGCTAACTTACTGTACATTATAATCACTTGGTAATCACTTATAATCACTTAATCATATACTCACATGCAGTTATACCTTCAATCTTTCGCCTTAGTTAACCAGGTGATGTTTTCATCTTGGCCATCTATAGTAGTGCCATATTAAATGTAAGAGAACCAGTACTACTTTTATCTTTTCATTCAAAGGTAGAAACGGATAGAACAACTGGAAGCGATGAGAAAGACTGTGAGAGAAAGACTGAGAGATTGTGGGAGCCAAGATAAAAGACACAGCCCAGAAATGTCGGGGAGCATAAGTCAAGATGGTACTTAGACCAGAACACTAACTTTTCGCAGAGAGTCAATGCCGTCTGTTTAAAAAAAAAAAAAAAAAAAATTCTAATATTGTCAGATTTCACTGTCAATCCATTTCACGGATGCCTTGTCTTTTGCTCAGATGCATTGCATTGATTTTGCTAATGTGAAGGTGTCTTGAAAAGATCAATTCCCTGGTCTTTTCTCACCTCTCCATCACTGACATAATCTTTTTTTCTTCTCTCAGGTATCAGACAGGTGTGATTACGTCTACGTCAATGGCAAAGAGATGAGAGGACGAGTCAGAATGCTGGTGAACTTCACATACGGTTATCTGAGGGCTCAGTTGGAGGTGAAGGTCTGGATTCCCAAACTGCCTCTGCACATTGAAGTTTCAGATACTGAACTCAATCAGATCAAAGGATGGAGGATTCCTGTAAACAGTAATGCCCAGAGGTACGAATATTGAGTGATTGGCATCCACATTTGATTCTGCATACGCAGATTTCCACAGAAATTAAAACACCTGTCACTCTCAAAGTTCCACACGTCTTACCCTTTAGTGTGTTCTTGTTATTTTGCAATCTGTTGTTGCCAGGGTTTTCATCTGGGGTCTGTGAATGTACAGGTGGTCCGTGGGAAGATATTTAAAACCGATATAATTTCCAATGTGTGTGTACAGCTGTTTTTCCACCGTCGAGCCGAACGGTTCTAAGATGGTTCTAAGGAATGGTTCCAGTTATGCTTCCACTAGAGTCTGCTACAGCTCGGCACGATTACAAACCGTTCTTGGCTCAGAATTCACAGCATGGTTGGCCAACCCGTGTTGAAACTTGCTGGTAGAATGCATTTAGTGATGTCGCCACTCACAATTGGTCACTTGTCTTTTGTTGCCTGGCTACCAGTTTCTCTGTGGCTGGCGAAATGTGCTATTTGGGCAACATAAACACAAATTAATAATAAAATTAAAAGAAATATCTGATCATCCTCCATAATGCAGCCACTATTTACATCTATATCATCACTAAACCAAGGCAACAACTGAAGTGTTTGTATTACATTCCAAAGACCTTGGCATAGACCTTATTCAGAGCAGCGCCATGACAGATATGAAAGTGAGGCTGTGAGGGATAGACTTACCGTGTTTCCAATGGCATCCGCTGTAAATAGCTGAATAAAGCGGCTAGATTACTTACAATTTTCCACAGCTTACATTGTCGGGAGTTTTTTGTCAACTGACATTTCTTGGAAAGATATTTTTCCGGTGTTTCAAGAGCAGAACAATTCGAAAACACATTAAATAACAGTACAGCCCATTGAAGAGATGCAAGTTTATCCCTCACAGCCTCGCTTTTATTCTTATTAAAAATCAAAGACGGCGCTGCCGTGAATAAGGCGTATTCAGATGTTTTTAGAAAACAAAAAAATTCAGAAAGCTTTCTGTGACGGCTAGGGAAAGAAGCACAGAAGCACTTGCTGTATGAGCGTAATAATATAAAGGGATAATTTGCTCTCAAATCAAGAATGCACCACTTGTCACCATGATGGTTACTATCCTAAAGTCAACATTAACAGAAATTCTTCTAAATTAGCATAACAAAACATTAATCACTACTAAATCTCACACTTAACATTAATCTTACACACAAAAAAAAACATTGTATTGCACTTAATTTTAGCATTTACACTCTCTTTCGAGTGCCATCAGCAAAGCATGCTGGGAAATAGTATCCCAGCCATTTCAGTTAAACTTAAGTTTGTGTAAATTAAAATAAATAATTTCATAAAACTTAAAACAATGAAACAGTTCAGTTTACTTAAAATATATCAGTTCTGTGAACTTGAAAGAAAGAGAAAGTGCTAAATACTCATAAAAATTAATTTGACTGAAATAATTTGTTGAATTTAAGTTTGTCCTACTCAAACCAATTAATTATTTTGACCGCTAGGGTTTACAGTAAGTAACGTCCCCATAAAACATGAAACAGGTTTCGAATGTAAACATGTTCCCTGAGAGGAGAACAAGATGCCAATTTATGAATTTGTGAGCCATTGAGTTGCTATCGAAACGGAACTGAGGCTGGAAATTCTGCAGGTAAAATTAAATTAATTTTAAATATGTGTTTGTCACAGAAAAGAAGCACATGAAACATTAAAAATGATCAGATAAGTTAAGACAAATTACAAGAATTTTCAGCGTAAACTTTGTTTTATATATTTGAACCCACAGAGTATTTTTCGGATAAAAACATATTTTAAAAAATGTTAAAACTTTTAAGAGGAAAATGCATTAACCTCATATTGATTTGTACTGAGGGTGGTGCAGTGTGAAAAATGTGAGAATCCCCACACAATCACAGAGAAACCGATCTCACCAGCAGCTCTAGAGTGTGAAACCATTAAACTCTCTGTCGGCAGTACAGTATTGCTGTGAATCCTTGATAAGACAAAGGATGTAATACAAAAGAATGTGAAACACTGTTGAGCTCCACTGAGAATCGTTAGTTTCATTAACAACCATTATAATCATTATTAGAGCATTAGTTTATATTAAAGGGATAGTTCACTTTGAAATGAATTTTGGATGTTTTAGCTTACCTCAAGTGCACCCAAGATGTAGGTGTCTTTGTTTCCGCAGTTTCAATTTTGATGTTTTTATGTCAAACCGTTCTTGTCTGTCAGTCATATAATGGAGGTATATGGGGTCCAGCTCAAAGAGCATGCACAGAGAAGTCCAAATTAAACCTGATTTAATGACTAGTAAACGTAAGTACACATTGATGGCCTAAGACACGAAACGAGCGGTTTGTGTGAGAAAACAAACAGTATTTATATTGTTTTTACCTCTTGTAATCACAGTCACGTCCAAGTGATCTATGGAGGCAGTTTCCTCTTTGTCTCCATTTCTGTATGTCCCATGTGGAATGATTCACAATGCATGTGAGAAGCTGAGAATACAGAATATAAAATCTGAAGTTCTTCATAGGTGAAATTTGAAGTTCCCAGTGGGTTGCTCATGTATCAGGTAGATTATTTTTTAGACGGTTACAATACAGATTCATTGAGAGTTTTGAGCAGAGCCATAAGGCAGATCCCGTACATTGTGTGGTGGCATTCCTTCCCAAACTTCTCTACTCAACTTTTCAATGACTAAGTAAAGTACCTGACATGTACACTGTCTTCCTTACTTTAAAAAAGTACATAGGAAAAATAGGCAGATTGACAGTGCAGCACTAGGGTGGTGACAGTGATTTTCATATCTGTTTTGTTCTGTAAAATATCTCATTTAAAAAATCTCTATTTTGACCGGATTTTTTTTTTTTTTTTTTGCTGTGGGAGACCCCCAAAGCAAGTAATGGGTGGGATGTTGATCTCATGTGGATATCCCTTATACTTGACATCACTGTGTGTGGATGGGGCCCTGTCTTATGGTTTAAACCCTGTATTATCAGTACACCACTAATTTACGGTGCTATTACTAAAATAACTAAAGGTATACTCTTTGTTGAAGTGCATATGAAGAGTTCAGATGCAAAAGCCTCTAAATGCCATTTGAAATTTTCTTCTAAAATGACAATTTTTATCAAGCTTGTATATTTAAGTTCAGTAATTTCACTTAAATGACAATTAATAGGTAATCTTCACTGCCATTTAAATGAAATTACTGAACTTAAATATACAAGCTTGATAAAAATTGTCATTTTTAGCATTTTTTTAGCAAGAAAATTTGAAATGGCACTTAGAGGCTTTTGCATCTGAACTCTTCATATTTTCATAATAGCTAATTTTGTGGTTTATGGATACATATACATATCATAAAGCTGTTAATGCTAATGAATATCTCTGTGTCCACACAATGAATATTACATGCTAACTGCTTCACGCTTTTTTTTTTGTTTTGTTTTTACATTTACTCATTATGCAGCTCTATTTATGTGTGTTTCTAAGAAGTAGAAAAGGCACATGCAATTCTGCAACTCTACAAGGTCAAGAACCATTAAAGCTGAAGTGTGTTTTTGTAAAGATTATCTTTTAATTTTATATTCTTCTTCTTTTTGAGGATTTCTTTTCTAAGTGTAACAGAGGCAAGCTAGTAAAACCTCATTCCCCTGGCCTCTAAAGGCACGCTAGTGACTGAAGCTAGAGGCTGTGGTCTTTAGCGTCCTTCTTGGAGCACCTGCCTCTCATCCCGGTTACATTTGGTGCCGTGACCCGGATGAGAGTGTTTGCGGGGGGTGTATAAGAGGCAAGCTATCAGAGCTGTGTGTGTAAACCTCACTCCCCTGGTCTGAAGTGGCGAGACTGCTAGAATCCCACTCAAAGGGAGCCGAGTAGGACCAGTTACACAGGTAATCAAATGTTAAAATGTGTGGAAATATCTCATTATACGTCCATTGAGAACTATACCTCAATCATATCTCGGGATCTGAATATCATATAAACTATTTTAAGATTAATTTGCTAGTGACTGCTTAGCAACACCATAGAAACTACCCACAATGCCCAAGCAATGCCCTAGTGACCACTCTGAACATCTTAGTGAACTAGTACATAAAGGGAAAGTTGTCAGGCAACCTCCAACTTTTCTCAAGAATATGTAATTTTCTGCTGCTAACTTCAATGTGTTTTGTGATCTAATTTGTTTACTCATTTGAAACCCCTGTTCAAATTAAGGTGAATATAATCAGAATCGAATAATGATTCTTTGGACAACACTAGTCAAATTGAACTTAAATTAGACAAGTGAGAAAGCCCTACACCAGCAAGATCTTCATAGAGCTGTGTCTCCAGTAGTGGGAGGTTGTCTGTCATGGTGGATCGAGTGGACTCTAATGAGGGGCTCGATTGCCGTCCTCCTGACAGCCTCAATCTCAGAGAGCACTAACAAGACGGCCACCTGATGCAATCATAATCTGATTCAGTGACAGAGCCCCAAAGTCCAGTCTAATGTCGCAGTCTTGTGGCAATAATGCACATTACTGTGGTGACATCTTAAGATCCCACTCACTGATGTTGTAGTATTCATAACTCTAGTTACTTCAGCAGCAACCCACATGCTGCTTGGTGTTGCCAGTTCAGTCAAACTTGGATATAAAACCCATACTTATGAATGGTGATTAAATTGACACAATTAGTGTGCAACAGTCGGGTTCTGGAAGTAAAAACTTCATTCTCCATAGGGAAATTGATTTTGAACTTATAAACCTTGTTAATAGTTGGTAATCGAGTTGATCTCTCTATACAAAGCATTTGAAGAGTTCAGATGCAAAAGCCTCTAAATGCCATTTGAAATTTTCTTCTTTAATGATGATTTTTATCAAGCTTGTATATTTAAGTTCAGTGATTTCACTTAAATGGCAATGATAATTACCTATTAATTGTTATTTAAGTGAAATTACTGAACTTAAATGTACAAGTTTGATAAAAATCATCATTAAATAAGAAAATTTCAAATG